CGCAGGATCCCGCCGCGCGGCTCGCGACCGACCTTCGAAGATCGAGGGCAGAGGTTTCTCGCGTTTGTGAGTGGGTGCGCGTGTGTGTGTGTGTGTGTGTGCGTGTGTGCGTGGTCTCCAGGAACCGCGCAAAAGGCCCCCAGAGGGCCCCCAGTAGATCCCAAAAATCGTTTCGGGGGCAGGGACGGGGACCAAAACCCATGAGGTGGATGTTTGGTCTCCTGGTGGTGTCTGAAAAGAGGGGGGGAGGGGGCATATAGTGTGTTAAAAAATATAATTCGGGCCCAAGTTTAGACCCCCCTGTTTATTGAAATAGAGTGGGTTTAAAAATATGCTACGACGACGACGACGACGACGGACGATAGCCGAAGGGCAAGAGAGATTCAGGGTTAAAACTGAGGCCTCAGTTTTAACCCTGACGACGACGACGACGATCACGACGATGACGACGACGACGACGATCACGACGATCGCGACGACGCTGACGACGACGACGACGACGGACGATAGCCGAAGGGCAAGAGAGATTCAGGGTTAAAACTGAGGCCTCAGTTTTAACCCTGACGACGACGACGACGATCACGACGATGACGACGACGACGACGATCACGACGATCGCGACGACGCTGACGACGACGACGAACTACGGACGAATAGCCGAAGGGCAAGAGAGATTCAGGGTTAAAACTGAGGCCTCAGTTTTAACCCTGACGACGACGACGACGATCACGACGATGACGACGACGACGACGATCACGACGATCGCGACGACGCTGACGACGACCCCCCGCCAGGAGATCCTGCCACCCGTGTGAGCGCCCGTCCTTCCCTCTGTTCCAGGAGGCCAGGCCCGCGCGCTGTGCGAGCTGCCGCCCTGCACCGAAGACCCGTGCTGCTGCGGTTGGTTTGAAGACGTGCGCCATCCGCCTTCGCACACCCTCCCCCACCCCTCCCTCCCTCGCCCCCGCTCCCCTCATCCTCCGTCCCACCCCTCCTTCGCTCCCTCCTTCTCCCTCCATCCCACCCCCTCTCTTTCCTTATTCCCCCCTCCTGTTGGCATGCCCATGGCACGCAGTGTACAAACAAAGCCAGTAGGCCTGGCTGTGAGATGGGCTGGCGGGGATACGCGAAGCGCAGCGAATTTCTCTGGGGGGGCCTGAAGAGCCCGATGCGACTAATTGCGATGGTATCAGACGCGCACCTTCAGCGTACCTTCAAAACGTAAGGCCTACTGGCTTTGTTTGTACACTGCGTGCCATGGGCGTACACTCAGCGTGCCTGCACACTGCATCACGCGCGTGCCTTCGGTGCACATGCGCGCGCCAGGTATCGGGTGCATTGTGTTTGGATCATGCAGCGCATACCTTCCGCCAGTCGCCAGTCGCCGCGGCTGGACTTCGCATCGAAATTTCCTCGAGACACGTCATGAAGCACGTTCGAACAGACGCGCCCCCCAGTGGCGGGCCGCAGGCACCACTGGGGGCGGGGGGGCGTTCTCGAGAGCACGCGATGCTAGATGGGCTCTGGATATGGGCCGTGGCCCCCTCCCCGCCCCCACCCCCCGCCCCCCTCGCCCCCTCGCCTCGCTGCGGGGAGGCCCCCGCGACGCGAGATGGGCGAATGCGATGGAGATGGCGAGGGCGAGGATTGAGGGAAGGCGTGTGTCCGCTTGGGCGATGTGGTTTTTTCCCCATATCCTGAGATGGGGTTCTTGTTATTACTTGGACGCTTCCTACTCCTCCTCCTTCTTCCTCCTCCTCTTTTCTCGTCCCCTCCTGTCGGACATACTCAGATTTGCTCATGCACAGACTTACTCATACTCAGACTTACTCATACCCAGACCTACTCATACTCAGACTTACTCACACTCAGACATACTCATATACAGACTTACTCATACACAGACTTACTCATACACAGTATTAGTCATACCCAGACGTACACATACACAGACTTACTCATACACAGACTTACTCATACTCAGCACCCCTAAGGGGAGCCGCCAGGGGTGGTTGCACGGGCTCGTTCGCGGCCATTTTGTGGGGATGTCTCAGGCGGTTTGCCTGTTTCTGTGCCCAACATCCTTCGCTTTCGGAGCAGATTTGGAGGATGTCTCGAGCGAGGCGCTCATTTCAGCACCCCTAAGGGGAGCCGCCAGGGGTGGTTGCACGGGCTCGTTCGCGGCCATTTTGTGGGGATGTCTCAGGCGGTTTGCCTGTTTCTGTGCCCAACATCCTTCGCTTTCGGAGCAGATTTGGAGGATGTCTCGAGCGAGGCGCTCATTTCAGCACCCCTAAGGGGAGCCGCCAGGGGTGGTTGCACGGGCTCGTTCGCGGCCATTTTGTGGGGATGTCTCAGGCGATTTGCTTGTTTCTGTGCCCAACATCCTTCGCTTTCGGAGCAGATATGGAGGATGTCTCGAGCGAGGCGCTCATTTCAGCACCCCTAAGGGGAGCCGCCAGGGGTGGTTGCACGGGCTCGTTCGCGGCCATTTTGTGGGGATGTATCAGGCGGTTTGCCTGTTTCTGTGCCCATCATCCTTCGCTTTCGGAGCAGATTTGGAGGATGTCTCGAGCGAGGCGCTCATTTCAGCACCCCTAAGGGGAGCCGCCAGGGGTGGTTGCACGGGCTCGTTCGCGGCCATTTTGTGGGGATGTCTCAGGCGGTTTGCCTGTTTCTGTGCCCAACATCCTTCGCTTTCGGAGCAGATTTGGAGGATGTCTCGAGCGAGGCGCTCATTTTCACCCCCCAGGTGGGCCAGATTTTGAGGATGTCTCGATCGGTTTGCTAGTTTTGGTGGCCAGGCTCGTGGGCGCAGATTCTTCTCAGGATGCCACAGGAGGCTCCAACAGGCTCCAGGAGGCCCAGGAGACCACATGAGGTCCCAGGAGGCATCAGGAGGCCACAGAACGACTCAAGAGGCCACAGGATGTCCCAAGAGGCGCCAGGAGGCCCCATGAAGCTCCAGAAGGCTTCAGGAAACCACAGGAGACCCCAGGAGACAACAGGAAGCGCCAGGAGGCCTCGGAAGGCAACAGGAGGCCCCGAGAGGCCCCAGAAGCAGGAGGCCTCAGAAGGCAACAGGAGTGGCTCCAATCCCATGTGTTTTACGTATGCCCCTACCGATTGGGCCTTACCTGGAGCACGATTCTTTGATGTTCTACGCATGTTCCTATAGATGGTCCTTCTCCTGTGTACACAATCCTAAATGTTTTATTCATGTTCCTATGTATTGGGCCTCTCCTGGGGCGCGAGTCCTTTGTGTGTTTACGCGTGTTCCTATAGATTGCCCTTCTCCTGTGGCTCTAATCCGTAATGTTTTATGTACGTCTGTTGCTATAGATTGCGCCTCCCCTGGGGCACGAAACCTTCCTAGGAGGTCCCAGGAGGTCCCAGGAGGTCCCAAGAGACTCCTGGAGACCCCAGGAAGCCCCAGTAGGTTTCAGGAGGCCCCAGGAGGCCCCAGGCCTCCAATTCATTCGCAGTTAGATTGATGTCCAGACCGTCACATCTGAAGCCCGTTAATATTCGAAAGCTCCTGCGCCTAGACATTCACGGCGGACAGGTCCATGCGAGTAGATGCACATATGGGGAGCTCCACGCAGTGAATATTTTTTCTTCAGGCGTGTGTCCGCTTGGGCCCGCATATCTCCCCTGTTCCTCCTTCGTCCCGCCTGCTTGCACATCCTCCTTGTGGAGGGGGGGGGGGGGGAAGGACGAGGCGGAGGAGGAGGGAGAGAAAGCGCTCCTCGTGATTTGAGTCGTTTGGGGATTCTCGTCCTGATGTGAGTCGTTCGGGCCCTTCTTCCTGGTGTGAGTCGCTCGGGCTCTTCGTCCTGGTGTGAGTCGTTTGGGCTTCTCGTGGTGTGGGTTGTTCGGGCCCCTCATCCTGGTGTGAGTCGTTCGGGCCCCTCCTCCTGGTGTGACTCGTTCGGGCTCCTCGTGGTGTGACTCGTTCGGGCTCCTCGTGGTGTGAGTCGTTCGGGGCCCGCGTCGTGGTGTGAGTCGTTCGGGCTCCTCGTGGTGTGAGTCGTCCGGGCGCCTCGTCCTGGCGTGAGCCGTTCGGGCCCCTCCTTGTGGTGTGAGTCGTTCGGGCTCTTCGTGGTGTGGGTCGTTCGGGCCCCTCGTCCTGGTGTGAGTCGTTCGGGCTCCTCGTGGGGCCTCTTGGGGACCTCGTGGGGCCTCTTGGGGCCTCTCGGGTGCCTCTTGGGGGCCTCTTGGGGGCCTCTTGGGGGCCGCTTGGGGCCGCTTGGGGCCTCTTGGGGGCCCCTTGGGGGCCTCTTGGGGGCCTCTTGGGGGCCTCTTGGGGGCCTCTTGGGGCCTCTTGGGGGCCTCCTGGGGGCCTCTTGGGGCCATATTGGGGCCTCTTGCGACCTCCTCAGAAGCGCAAATAAGCGCTGACCCCTGAGAAGGACAAAATGAGGCCAACACCTTCGTAACATCAATGATTTTGCTAAGAAGGACGATGAGCGCGGCCCCCTCAGAAGGCCAAAATGGGGCCACCACCATAGTAAAATCAATGTTTGTTCGCTTCAAAAACGAGCGGAAGCGCCAAGCGGCACCCCCCCCCCCCTCGGGGCCAGAATCTTCGTGAGGGTCGTTGTTGTTTGGCCCTCCCAGGCGTAGAAAAACAGACTCACCTGACCACGCTCGGGACTACCGATCCAGGTCCAGGGGGAGGGGGTAGGGGGAGGGGTAAACCCTTCCCCGAAGGGGAAGAAGGGGGGTTGAGGACAGAGAGAGCTCTCTAAACCACTCACGCCCAAAGGGCTGGTGGGATTCCAACATATCAAACGACGGTTGGGAACCAGGTTTCTCAGGAGGATCTGGTGATTGCCTTAGCGGTCGCACCGCTGGGCCCTGACATGGGAGAAGGCTTGGGTGGAAAGAAGGGGGAGCATAGTTGTTTTGGCTCGAACATTTGCGAGCGGCTCTGCCGCGTATCTCGGCACCTCTCGCGTTGTCATTCTGATTGCCCTTATATCTCGCCAGGAAGCGCCATGGCGCTGGCTGCTGTTCGCGAGACATGCGAACACATGGCGGCGACGATGCAGTCAACGGGCCAGGTCGACGCGCAGCAAGCCAAGAACCTCTTGCTCTCGAGGCTTGCGCCGATCCAGGCAATCACCATGGCTGATGCCACTGCCATCTTGAACGTCCTGAACACGAGCCAATTCGGCGGCCCAGGCGCGTCCAGATCGGTACGATTGTGAACATGAAGGTGTCGGGGCTCTCGCACGCCCCGCGCACGGCGGCGAGGCAGAACACTCAATCTTGCTTGTTTTTCCACCGCTACATGACCCGCACCATGTGGGACGCATTCAGAGATCAGGTTACGCCGTGGGACCACGCCCAGTCCATGATCCTGAACCGCATGGGCGACATTGGCCTCGTGAACCCGAGCGAGCTGACGCTCGTTCACATATGGGCCGTGTTCATGGTTGCGAAGCACCCCGAGGGCGCTCAGATCAAGCCAGACCCGATGGAAGCCCTCCATCGCAAGAACCAGCTCAAAGATGCAATTGCCCTCTATCGCAGGCGCGTGCCGAGGGCCCCGCACCACGGCGTGGTCGCCGACTACCCCGCGGACCCCGACAACTTGCAGAGCACTCACCCTGCCGTGTACAATGCCGCATTCTCAGTGACCTTACCGCCGTGCCCGTGCCCCATCCACGAAGGGAAGATTACCGCGGCGAGGGTTGCGATGCCGTGCAGGCGCAGCAGTTCGTTGGTTTCCACCCCTGCAGTCGTCAGGCAGCCGCGCGGGGCGAGGCAGCTCGACGCCGCGGCGCAGCAGATGTTCGCGTTCGATCGTGGCGACGCGGGTTCAATCCCAGGCCTGCACATCTATGGGCATCCCAGGCCGACGCCGATGGGGTCGTGGATGCCCGCGGTGCAGCACATGCTCCCCGCGCCGCCAACGAGCCCGAGCGGCGGCGTCGGCGGCGGGGGCCCAGACGGTTTGCCGCCAGCGGCGGCAGCTTCGCCGACGGGCGCCTCTGCGCCAGCGGCGGCAGCCTCGCCGACGGGCGCCTCTGCGCCAGCAACGGCGGCCGCGCCGACGGGCGGAGGCGCGCTTTCAAGCAGACGGGGGGGGTGATGGTGGGGGTTGGGAGGATGCGGAGGGCGAGAAGGGCGAGGAGGGTGGGGAGAGAGGCTGAGGAGGAGGGCGGGGGGGAGGATGTCGGTGAGGATGGGAGAGGATGACCCCCTTGCCCTCCTCATAGGGCGACGAAATCTATACATATCCACTGCTCCCTGGCCAGGCCCATCCTCAACCCCGCAGCGGTGCATGCGCCGCGCCCTCCTGGCTTGGCCAGGAGGGCGCATGCACAGCTCCTGGGTTCAAGATGGGCATGGTCAGGGAGCAGTGGATATGTATAGATTTCGTCGCCCAATCCTCAGGCGCGGGGGCGGCGGCGGCTGCGGGGGCGCCTGTGGCATCCGTGGACGAGATGCTCGAGCACTTCGGCGACGTGATCGGAAATGGCAAGGGCAAACCCCCCATGAAGGCGGCAGCAACCAAACAGACCCCTATGAAGGCTATGAAGGCGAAGACCCCGATGAAGACGAAAAAGGTGATAAGCAAAACGACCCCGTCTCCAATGAAGGCGAACAAATCGAAGCCATCCCCCGTGATCGTAGCCTCGGCGTCTGCCTTGCGCTTCCCTGGCGTGCCGACCAAGCCCGTGGCGCCCCTCGTTTTTGGCGGGTACAAAATACCACAGCCTTCGGCAGTGCCCGACGCCCTGTTTACACATAACAATGTAAGGTATATATTGCACGCGCACTTGGCGCATGGAAAGTACGTGGCAGGGCACAGGAGGGATCTCTAGCCACCGCCCCCAATGTCGGCGCACCCATCGCGCGGATCATGCCTCGTAAGAGCTCGCGGATGTCCAGGCACTGTGGGCCGTGTCAACGGCCATGCGGTTCTACACGGCGGTTCCAGCCATGAAGTGGCGTGTTCTGCGCAACGGCCAGAGGGTCGACTCCGCCTTCAGCTGGAAAATCGATGCCAGGAAATCGTGGAGGGCCCTGGTCCAGCATGTGAAGGACGGCAAGTGATGGCCCAGTCAGAATGACAGGAGGCGGGGATGCTGCGGTGACATTTCCCTGCAATATATACGTTCGATTTGGTTCCTCCCAGATGCATGGCGTGATGTAGGGCGAGCTGTTGGCCCCTCTCTGTTAGGTATTCGAGGTTTTCCTAACCCGAGGATTGTCGATTGCAATGGGTGCCCGCACAATCAGATTGCAGCTCAGGCGGCTCTGCCCCCACCATTTCCCATCGACGATAGTCGCGCGGCAGGCGCGCGTCTAACTACACATGGCGAGAAAAAACTCATCGCCTGCCTGCTTCGCCCACCCCTTCCCCTTCCCTCCTCATCCTCATCCTCCCTCCATCCTTCTCGTCTCCGTCTTCCTCTCCTCCCTCCCCCTCCTCCTCCTCCTGCCTCTCTCTCTCTCTCTCTCTCTCTCTCTCTCTCTCTCTTCTCTCTCTCTCTCTCTCTCTCTCTCTCTCTACTATATATATACACACACCTCTCTCTCTATATATATATAAATATCTTCCTCGCACCCTCCCTCTCTCTATATGTATCTTCTCTCTCTTCTGTATGTCTATATCTCCCCCCTCCTCTCTCTCTCTCTCGCTCTCTCTCTCTCTCTCTCTCTCTTTCTCTTCTCTCTCTCTCTCTCTCTCTCCCTCTCTCTCTCTCTCTCTCTCTCTCCTCTCTCTCTCTCTCTCTCTCTCTCTTTCTCTATGCTCCTTCAATCTACCACGTCGCCGCTCGCCGCCGCGGTGTGACGGGCGTCATCGCCCCCTCTTCCAAGTGTAATTCGGGGTCGGATGGGCGCGATCCCACTTCGCTCGCGCTCAGCTGCGGGCGCTGTCCGTGCTCAGCGAGGCGCGGGGGCGAAGCTGGAGCCCGACGTCATTTGCACTACAATTCTGGCCACAGCGCGCGCGAGGGCACCGTTCCAAACAAAGCCCCAGATGCTGCCTGGAGAGCCTCCGAGGCCCATCAGAAGCACCACGGGGGACCAAGGCGCGCCCAAGATGGCCCCAATGCGGCCCCACGACGGCCCGAGAGGGCCCCAATGCAGCCCCAGAGGCCTCCGATATAGCCAGGACGTCCCCAAGTCGAGCCCAAGCAGAGCAAGCCAACCAGCAGCCCCTCGAGAGCCCTATGCCGCCAATAGGCATGCTGCCAGCCGCAAACGAACGTGGTAGCGACGATTCTGACGTCGGGGTGGCGGCGTTGGCGACGACGTGTCTGACGTTGCTACCGAGAGGAGGAGGATGGAAGATGAAGAAGAGGAGGGAGAGGGCGAGAGAGGAGGCGGGTTGCACGTCGAGCATGGGGGGGCATCACATACATTAAAATAGTTGCGTTGTAACTGCTGTTATGTTTACATAAGCCAACATAACTTCTCACAACTTGTTACAGCGCAAGTTGTGAATGAATGCATGCAGTTATATCCTTTGCGCGGTCTTAAGTTGATTTGGCATGTGATTGCATGTGCGGTTACATGTGGCGCATCTGGATACATGATAGTTACAAGTATGACCGCAATTGAGTTGACTTGCATTTAATTGCACCCACTCACGGGGCTTATATCCCTGGTTGCTCGAGTTATATGTCATACTTGCGGAGGTTATATGTTAACATATAACGACGGACCGCGTTTGGACACGAAGCAGGACGGACCCCGGACGGACCCCGGACTGACCCCGGACTGACCCCGGACGGACTGACAACGGACGGACTGACCCCGGACTGACCCCGGACTGACCCCGGACTGACCCCGGACTGACCCCGGACTGGCCCCGGACTGGCCCAGGACTGACCCTGGACTGACCCCGGACTGACCCCGGACTGACCCATGGACTGACCCCAGACTGACCCCGGACTGACCCAAAACTGGTCCGGACTGGCCCCGGACTGACCCTGGACTGACCCCGGACTGAGCCCGGACTGACCCCGGACTGACCCCGGACTGACCCTGGACCGACCCGGGACTGACCCGGGACCGACCTACCCCTACCTAACTGACCCCAGACCGACTTCGGACTGACCCTGGAGTGACCCCGGACTGACCCGGGTCTGACCCCAGACATACAGAACGTTGTGTTTAGTATTCGAGTCCCAGCTCGGTAAAACTAGACTCGGTAAAAATAGATCTCGGCTAAACTAGGTCGCAATCTGATATCTAATTTAAACGAGTGGAGAGTATAGTAGGGTAGCGTAAAGTAGGGCAGACGGTATTCGACAACGGTAGAAACGAGTCGGGCGGGGCCGAGCTGGGTCGAGTAGAGCAGAGCAGGGTAGAATACAATGTATTGAAGTGTAGAACGACGTAGAGGGGAATCGGGTGTACTAAAATTGAGGAGCGCAGGGTAAGGTCGACTCGGGCACACTTGGTTAAGATGCGACGAGCTAGAGCAGAGCGGAGCCGAGCAGGGCCGATCGTCGAGCAGAGCGGGTTAGAACCGAGTAGAATAGAACTACGCGTAGGGCACCGACAATCAAAATAGAACAAATGGAAACAAATCAAACCCGAATCGGATTAAGCAGAGTCGCGTAGGACACATCCGAATGCATTACACCAGAGCATGTTGAAGTTGAGTATGTTGGCGCTGACATGACTAGAGTTGTGTAAGATAACATAGGCGAGGGTCTACGCGTGTAAAAAGAGTAGGGTTGCGCATACTGGAGTGGAGTAGCGTAATGTGGACCATAATCGGGTAGCGTAAGACAAAGTATATTAGAGCACGTGTGTGGCAGGGTAGAGAGGCGAAGACTAGAATATACGATAATGAAGCAGAGAAAAACCGAGTTGCGCAGGGTTGAGGTCTAGACGTGGAGGCGCAAGGTGCAACGCATGTCGCGTGTGTCCCTGACGCTCGCCATGGCAGGTCACATGGCGCTAGGAACGGCCACTGCCCGCGTCGCTGCGGGCGGGCGTAAATGAAGGCATGCGCCCGAACATGCGGGGGGGGGGGGGGGGTGCACCAGAATAATAGAACACGCACATTTACCCGACTAACGTAACGCATGACATACTCTTGGGACCCAACGGAGCACCTGAACCTCCCAAGTGATTTTTTGATTTGCGCGCGGGTGATCGTCTGCCGAACACTCCTGCCCGTGGCGCCGAAACGACGAGCGAGGGGCCCGAAGAAGGGCCGAAAGAAACGAGGGACGGACCAGGACCCGACAGAGCCGAGCGAGGGACCGACCCGAGCAAACAGGGACAACGAGAAAAATCGAGGGCCCGAACAGACAAGCGATGCTGGCAAGACTGGTGAGACAATTTGAAGCCCGCGTCCTGGCTCCTGGGCTTCCAGCCTCAACCTCTGGCCAGCAGCAGAATTATACAACAAGACAGAGTCAGCACGGCGGCGGAGAGCCCTTCCTCTCTTCGCGAGCCTGGGCTGGGGGGGGACAAAAGGAGCACATAAAGGATGAGTGGGCGCAGGCGGTGCGGGTGCCTGCTTCTCAGCGCCTCTGTACCCACTCATCCTTAGCCTAGCCTAGAACCCTGACGAATCGGCACAGGACACTACAGAGAGCAAGGCTAGAGAGGCAGAAAGCATGCCGCCCCCCGCAGCAGGAAGCGAAGATAATTTTCTTTGCTTCTCTTTGCGAGCCTGGGCGGGGGGAAGGACAAAAGCAGCGCAGAAGGAGGATGAGTGGGCGCAGGCGGAACGGGTGCCTGCTTCTCAGCGCCTCTGTACCCACTCATCCTCAGCCTACTAGTCCCTGGCGCGTAGCCATAAGACATTTCGACTGTCCGACTGTCCGACTGTCAGAGAGAAAGCGCAGACAGAGAGGCGTGCACAGATATCCCCGCGCGGCGGGCGGGCAAGAGTCTTCTCTCTTTGCGAGCCTGGCCAGGGGAGGAATGACAAAAGCACAGACGGGATATGTGGGCGCAGGCGGAACGGGTGCCTGCTTCTCAGCGCCTCTGTACCCACTTATCCCAAGCCTACCCTACTTCCTGGAAGCTGTCCTCTGTAGCGGCCAGGAAATGGAGTACTGCAGAACAACACTTCTGGCGGCTGGTGTCGGGGATCCGAGTAGTCCTGCCAGCATCAGACAGACGAGACAGACCAGATATCCCAGGTACATCCACCCCACCTCCGAAGTATACCCCGAGAAATCTACGGGGCCTCTAAAAGCCATGCAGGATCAAACAATGCCTGAACATTAAAGACATCGTGAGGGGCAGGAAAAGCATATATAACGTTGACATTGTCAACCGCAGTGACCTCACCGACTGGTTGATCAGTGCGGGGGTCACGACCATCACACATGCGTCGAAGCCGTGAGATGGTGCCAGAGGCCCGAGGAGGCCCAGTGCATGATTTAGTTAAATCAACTGCTTTCTTACACGAGTAGCGGCCACATCGTCGACAAAATATGATATTATTTAGCCGCCTGAGCACGTGCCCACCGCCAGTGGGAGAAGAGCACTGCGAACGCAATAAATAGCTCTTGGAGACTGAACTAGCCCAACAATTCACGCATCGAAAACGACCCGCTGAGGGGTCCCAGAAATGCTCATGCAAGGCCCCAGAGGAGGCACCAGAGAGGACTAGGGATGGGGCCGTGGGGGCAGGGGACTCGTCAGAATCCGCCGCCCAAACCTTTTTGGGCACATTCTTGAAAATCCATGCTATACAATGACCGATATACACACCAAGATTGCGCACCAGCAAACCAGAGCGCTTGATACGGTCGTGCAGGACCGTGTCCAGAGTGTGTAGGTCAGCACCTAGGTTAGCAAGTCTGTCAGCTTGCTTATTACCCGCAGAGGTAGAGTGGCCACGAACCTTGGTGACCTTAATTAGGTGATACCCGATATCTGAAGCCGCACGGTGGACACGGACCCACAAGGATGCGTGAGTGGCCCATCCGTGCGTGGTAGCTTCATACCCCAATGCCCAACCGTCCACGACGCACTGGGCATCAGTGACAAACTCATAGCAGTCGGAGGGGGCAGCATGGGTTAGATAAAATAAAAACGCATAAAGCTCAGCCCCTGAAACATCCTGGGTG